GAGAGAGAGAGAGAGAGAGAGAGAGAGAGAGAGAGAGAGAGAGAGAGAGAGAGATTAACAGATGGTACTTCATTTAGATTCCATTATTCAGTGCACTTTATTTTTTCCTTGGAAAGAAAAAAAGATTACCTATGTTTTTATGAGAAGTAGAATTATGTAAAACACCAAAATGTCACATGGGGCCACCAAAGACATTTTTTGCTTCTTTTCTTTTAGGAAAAGGCCGCTATACGGAATGGTTTTTCATCTCTTCCCACCCCGCTCCATTCTTCTATGCACAAAATTGAAGGCAGGTTATACTACTAGGCGCATCCCATGGTAACAGAAAAAGCATTTGTACCCCTCTTCTTCCAGCCTTAGACACGAAGTCTCCTGTGTGACATACTGTGATTCAGCACAGCAGTCTGTCATCGTTGGAAGGAGCATGGGCCTTCAGGGCTGGACTCAGATGTGTGGTCTTTTTCTGCTGTCCTTTGAACCACATGGAAGAATGTGTTCACAGAGTAAGTTGCTACACAATCTGCTCTTTGCTTGGAAAAATGAAAAACATTAAAAAAAACACCACGATGAAACCCATTACTTTGTTTGCTAAGCTAAAAATAAAACAAATGTCAAATGTCTAAAGACTTGTAAAAAAAAAAAAAGCACAGCTACCTTCTACAAGAGAATTTCCCTGTTTTTTAATCCCCAAAGTGTGGATTTATATATGTAAAAGCACATAGGGAACTGTGATAGTTTGTTCATGTGTGAAATCAACACACTACATACATTGTCTTTGTGCTCCCGCGTCAAAGGTTTAACTGAAAAACTGGAACTTTGTTCTCAGCAGTGAATCTGTGTCAGAGGGTGAATCAGATCTTCAACAGTGGTGACATCTTAACATCTCTTCATGTAAAACCATAACAAATGTTTGGAATTTACTCTTTTAGTTTCAACTGTGCCTACCTTAATAGTGGCTGAGACAGGAAGACGTTGGGGGAGGGGAGGAGCCCCCAAGTCGTTTAATCTTGCTAGTTAGTTATTCTCATTTATAACAGAGCAAAATAATTGGTAAATGCTGCAACCCAAGTAACTGTCCAATCCAACGTCATCCTTCACCTAAAAATGACTTCACTGTCATCAAGGAAACTGAAGCAGAAATCCCTGCCAGCCCTCTTTTTTTTCTTTGGGAGTCAGCGGGACACCTGCACCCCTGGGGTTTCTGTCTGTGTTTGGGCTGGGAAGGGGCAGAGGAAAAGTTGTCTTCCAAGTCTCAGGGCTAACATGCAGAAAGATGCCCACCCTTGAATAAGGAGAGGGGCTGTAGAAAATTCTCCCAAGTTCTGAATCGGGATTTTTGTTGAGAGATGAATATAAAAGCACCTTGGTCAGGAAGTTCTCTAGATTCTCACTCCAAGAAGATCAAAACATTTCAAATAATGACATTTGATGACTGCTTGCCGTAAAAAAGCTGAATCCATTTGACTTATGTTTTTCTCTATTTAAGAAAATTCACAGATTCAAAAGCAACTTTTTCATTTTAAGAGGGGGAAAAAAAAAACCAACAAAAACGTCATCCAGAAGCAGTAGGGAGTAGCCCTGCTCCTGCACTTTAATTTATGGGTGGCTGAAGTTCAACTTTCTCAGTATGCCATGATCTCAGTACAGCTGGCCAGACTCCACGGTGGGTAATCAGCTCTAACTTAGCAGGGCAGACCTGCTCTGTGAGCCTAGTTTGCTGTGTTGGACAGAAGTTGTCAGACCTGTCTGACTCGAGAGAAGACTTGTTGAGCAGGTTCTGTGGTGAGATCACCGCCAGCTCAGTTTTATTGGGCTTGGCTGGGAGAAGCCAAGAAATAAATGGTCTGACTTGGAGTATCTAAAGTTATTTTTCCGATTTTCTCTCCCAAATTCCATCTGCCATTTCTCTGGGGGATGAAACCTTCATTCACACGAATATTGATTTGTTGACCAAATATTTGCTGGATACTGGTAATGTTTCAGGAACTGACCTGACGCTAGATGTAGAAGAGTGAATGATACACCTTTCTGCCCTGATGGGCATATAACCAATATTTATAATATTCACGAAAATGTTTTAATTCACAGATATCAGCAGTTCACATCATTACTTCCTGTCTTTAAAAAGCAGACCGTGCGTAACTGCTCTTGGAAGGGGCTGGCAGAGTGGCCTTAGATCTGCCTGCATATCACATTAATGAACACGTGACATCTGGTCCACACCTCACTGGGAATTCATCTCCCCACTGTACCCAGGCTCCCTGTTGCTCCCCTGGCCACCAATGCAGGGCTCCCAGAGCGGAGCACGAGTCCAGCAGGTCCCAGTCCACAACAGACACAGTGGTAAGGTGGCCATGATGTTAACCTTGGCCTTGTTCCATTGAAGAAAGTTTCGCAGGCATCTTTGAATCCCCTCCCCCAAAGTTGTGATGTTTCCGCAAGAGTGACCTGAATTTTGACTTCTTCTTTTACATAGCATACAAGAATGATAATGTTTCAACTCTCCTACTCAATTCTGTCCATAAGATACACGATTTGGTAACACATTGCCACAGCTATGTGCACATGCCTTGGGCATTTGTTTACAGTGGCGTTTTAGGATACTCCTCATACTATGCTGTTGTTTTGATGCAATTGCAATACTTTCTATAAAGGAATTGTAATTCTGTTTTTTTTTTTTAATTAAGGTCTTTTTCTTCATTATAGTTATAAGGGACTATAAAGCTCATATTGTGATTTTTGAAACTTTAGATTGCTTTTTTATTTTTTTAGCATTTATACCTTTATCTATATTGTGCAGGGTGATTGGCTAAACTCGGTTAACTTTTTTTTTTTCAATTGAGAGTTTTCTATTCTCCATGAATTTTAAGCACCAGGACAGGCTGTCTCTTATTCTTAGAACCCCCACCCTCCCAACAATAAAAAAGCACTGATATTGATGAATGGAGTATGAATTACTTTAAGGCTTTCCCACATTTGCTGTCTTTATATATTTTTCTCTATTAAGAACTATCTGAATAAGGGAACTGTTCTGATTGGAGAATTATGTCTACTTGATTGTAGTGTAGTACTTGATTGTCTATAAATCTAGCAGTGTTCAGATGTTGGGCACATATTAATTAAGGTACTGATCCAAATGAAGCCTGCATTTGCCTTCAAAAACCTATAGTCTGGTAAGTGAGAGATTTGCCCATTTTAAAACATGATCCTGCTTCCCCTCCCCTGGGATTGGAAACACTGTTGTTTATGTTTCATTTCATTGTCTCCCAAACCTCAGTGATTCATGTCTCATACTCAGGACCTTTGTACTATTTGCAGCTGCCTATATTGTTATGCTTCTGGAAATGTGCTATTATTTTAAACTTAGCTGAGTCTGCTCGGTAATAGAAGCAATATTGTTGAATCTCTAGGTTGACAATATTTTCAAATAAAAAAGACTTTAATATAAATATTTGACTGCTCAGTAAGTACTGCTGTTGATATCCACGTCCCGCGCTGTGCCTCCCCCCCCCCCCCCCCCAGTCCTTCACACACCACAGGGATCTCTACCTGTAACATCCCTTCTGGGAATGAGTCTGGCAGAAGAAAAATGTAGAACAGTGGGAGCCATAGCAGTGGGGACAAGAGCTGATGCTTATGGAGTGCATTTACACTTGCCCTTTTTCTTTATCTCATTCTTACAGCTCCTTTCATGGGCATGTACATTTCAGAGGCATGAAGCAGAGGGCGGGGGAGAGAGGACTGGGTAGCTGGAAGTCACATGTGCGGTGATGTTTTCAGGTTAATTCTCTTCTGTCAGTTGACATTTCACACCTGATTAGCACATGCAAATTGTACCTGATGATGGAAGAATAAGGGTTCTCAACACTTGCTGTTTGTGAAGCAAAGTCATGATCCCAGAATGAAGATATTGGTGCCAGTTACACTGGACTGATAGCATAAAACATGTTTTCTTCCCCACTTTCCAGCTAGTTGGGTTTTTTGTTTGTTTGTTTGTTTGTCTTCCTCAATGCTAGTCAGCAAGAATATTTTTTTTTCATGCTGAACCCTGATGGCATTGCTCGGAAGTCTTTGCAGTCAGAAGCAGTAATGCCAACCTATAATTGTTATTTTGGCTGTTCTTTTAGTGGTCTTACTCATGGCCCAGGCTTACCTGGAATTCACTGTGGCGTGCAGACTGTGAGGCGATCTTCTCACCTCGGCTTCCTAAGGATTGCAGGTGTGAGTCACCACCGCCCAGTGTCTACCTGCCTTAGTAGACTCCTCTAGGCTTTTTAGAGAATATAAAAATAAATACTTTAATGAACATTGTCATAAGACATAGAATTATTAACATTAAACTTCCTCATGTTACAAAGGAAAGCTCAAGAGAATATGGTGGCAACTTCCCTCTGGTTCTGTGGTTGGTGTCGCCATTTGAAGAGTTGCACTGCAAATCGCTTCTGGGCCATTTGTCTAAGGCCATCTAGACAGTTGTGTGGTGGGTTTGTGTTTAGATATGTATCAGTTTTTCTTCCAATGTATGGTAAATTGTAAGTGTAACTCATACCTTAGGTGTTTTTCACTCTGCATTCTTTTTTAGCAGTGTGTCTTACATGTGGCTGACAGGGCCTGATTGCTTTTTACTTACTAAATGATATAACAGACTCCATAAACTTGTTTAATCTTTTTTTTTTTTTAAATAAAGATAAGGTCACACTAGCCCAAGCTGTCAATGAATTTACTGTGTAATTGAAGATAGTCTTAAGCTCCAGATCCCCTAATTCATCCCCCAAGTGCTGGGATTACCAGTGTGCACCACCATATCCATATCTGGATCCCCAAACCCTGTTTTTCACTGTTCTTTGCCATGAGATTCCAGATATATGCCTTAGTTTATTTTCCTGTTGCTGTGATGGACTACTCTGGCAAGAGTAACTTAAGGGAAGCTGGGTGTGTTTAGCTTTTGACTCCAGGTACAGTCAGTCCATCATAGCAGGGGAAGTCAAAATGGCAGGGACTTGAAGTAGGTAATCACATTACATCCACAGCAGAGCAAAGAACAATGATTGATGCATACATGTCTGTGCTCAACCACCTGTTACTCTGGCTCCAGTGGATCTGACACCTCTGGCCTCTGCAGGCATGCATGTATAAAGACAACCCTCCCCCCTGGCATATAATTAAAAATATAAAACAATTCTTTAAAAAAAGGGAAGATGAAAAAAATCTAGAGTTGTATTGACTAAGTTGATTAAATATTTTAATTTTGCATAATTTGCATAATTTTTACAATTTGCATTTATGCATAATTGCATAAATGGTAGGAGTTACAGGACATAGTGATAACTATCTTCAATAATTGTGAAACATTAGCTAGTATGGTGGTTTGGATGTAATTGGCCCCATAAGCTCACAGGGAGTGGTACTAGTAGGAGGTATGGCTTTGTTGGAGTGGGTATGGCCTTGTTAGAGGAAGTGTGTCATTTGTGGGGGCAGCTTTGAGGTTTCTTATGCTCGGGAT